GCGGCTTATAGTCCGGAAATTACGGTAATTTGCAAATGTTTCTTGTGTTTCTCTGTATGAATATGGGATGGGAATCTAGCAAGGCCGCTTAAATACATGTTTTGTCCATCTATGTAACTCACAAAAGTGTTACCAGTCCCTTTGTGGTAATTATCAATAAAAATCCTGTATTTCAAGTAGTCTCATGACGCCAACAGCTAAATCTGTAGACACGGCTGATCTTGTGATAGTGTGACACGTAACAGTGTTTCATTAGGTTGACTAAGCTTAAGACAAGTGTGCTTTTCTTTCCCTCGGTCCCGCCCCTCTTTTGTTAAAGGTTACGCTGGCTGCGGTCATGTATCCCAAACCTGGCAGCAGCACACATGAGAAGGTCATACTGTAGACTTGAAATATCCCTGCCTGGGCTGTGCGACTCCCTCCTACTCATGTCAGCAGCTTAGCCTTTGGCCGTCTCGCACACACACTTTTGTGTCTCTGTCTCTCGGAGGAGAAGCTGGCAGTCAAACAGTAAGCTCATTCAGACTCTAAAATACAGAGTAGGTCTGAGGTGGAAAAAGAGCATCACAGTCGGTGAATGTTCAGCAGGGTTGATGACTAAGCAGTAGTTAACTGACAAAAAAAAAGCAACTTATTGGCTCAAGTATGTCTCCCTAACCTTCTCATGGAGTCAGCTGAGCTTTTGTGAGGTATCGGTGACTTTTAGGGCTGTGTGAAACTCTGTCAAGGCGGTACACGTCGTTATTCACATCGGTGGTGTCAAATGCACAAAAAATGTAAGCCACTTTACTGTAGGTTGCTATGCAACCAGGAGAAACTCCTACGAACTGTCTTTTGCTGCTTGCAGTGGTGTTCATAAAAATATGACACTGACCTGATCATTTATCTTGCACTTAAAAAAAAAAAAAACTGTACGTAATTATGAAAGCGTACACGGTGCCTCAGGTACAGCTGTTCAGTTCAGGCCTCATTACTATCTCAGCGGCGCAGTTTAGGTTGTCGGAAAAATTCATTCACAAACAACAATACACACAAAAACACTGCATGCTCATAACAGTCACTGAAAATGCATAATGATAAACATCACACTACGCTATAGCAGTCAAAACTGAATGAATATGAGGGTCCCTGAAGCATGGCTGTTAAGTGGTTTAATAGCAGCTGGAATAAATGAGAGCAGCTGTAATCAGCAGAAACTCGAGCCTGAGGAAAAAGGAAAAATGCTCGGGTGGTTATCTCCATCATTCCAGCCTCTTACGGATTCACTCAAATTAGAAAACAGCCTCATTTTGTGTCTGTCACAGAAATGTGTTGAATATTGTCGAAATCTTTTAAACCATTAATGATTGCTTGATGACACGCGATAATGTTTATTTAGTTGCTTTGATAATGGTCTTGTTGTTATTATTGCAGTTGATAATTTTGAAGCACCATTTGTAATTAACTTGTCAGTAATATTTATTTTAGCATCTCAATTTGTTAAATATGCCGCTAAGGAAATTATGTCCTGCTGCATGACATAATCCCGTGTCCTCCGGTTGCATGAGGTTGTGTAAGATGTATGGGGGTGGATACACTAGTCTGAACAAAGGTTAATCAGTTAGTAGGCGATGGAGAAGGAATTGCCCACTATTTTATAGCTGATTAATCATTTCTGTTGATTGTCCAAGCTATTCAGTTCTTGTTCATTTGTGCTTTTCTACATTTATGTGTTGTGCACTGAATATCTTTAGGTTTTGTGGTGTTAGTCAGACAATGCAATGAACAT